GCAAAAATGTGGGCTATTTGTAACTCGCCACAGTTCCATCATTTTATGGAATATTTTTACATAAAGGTGATCAATCTGTTTGTTGTTGTGTTGCACCCTTGAACGTGACCTAGTCCAGTACACCACCTTTAACTATGACCTCAGTAATAAACATATCATTGAATTTATTGATTTGACAATTTCACCAAAAAATTAAAGATTTTGAGCTTCATAAACACAGATGAGTTTATAACGCAAAACAACGTGTGTTGTACTTGCTGCTGAACACAAGATCCCTGAACAACAACTTTTGACTCCAGAATCTGAAACGCTGATCTCAGTATCGACCCTGTCCATCAATAACAGTCTGCAGCCGTTTCATGTAGTTTTCACTATACATTTATTTCAGTTACAATTTATGACGTCAGATTTTACACAAAGTGTACTTAAGAAATAGCTGATGCTTCTTTGACAGTAGTTTAGGTTTCTATGCCTCTGCACAGGTGACAGCCATGGCTGGAAAAATAAATCTACATGGTACCAAACCTGTACACTTGACCGTACAATTCAATTCATTTGTATAGTGACAAATCACAACAAGTCATCTCAGCACCACTAGCAGAAAACCCCAACAAGTCCCCCTTGAGCAAGCACTTGGCAACAGTGGAGAGGAAAAACTCCCTTTATAAGAAAAAACCTCCAACAGACCCTGACTCAAGGTGAGCAGCCTTCTGCCTCGACTGGTTGGGGTGAGTGGATAGCTTTCATAGTCATCACTCCTGTCATTCTTATCATGGAAAATAAGGCAAATGCACTCAAAGTGAGTGTCTCAGAGCTTATTTAGTCATCCGAGTTGTCCATCTCTGTCAGGCTTGCTCCCTCCCAAGAACCCCAAAACACACTCTACGTATGAACCTGCTAAACGTATCCCTACATCAGCGATAATACTTTACAGGGGTAGGAATATTCCCCTGCTGGGAAGCCTCCCATGTCTGCAAAATCTAATAAGCATATGAAACACAAAACTTTCCCTCCCCTGGCCTAGTTGAAGCACGAGTTGCCCCTTAGAACTTGGCAGAGCGAGATGACCCAGAGGCCTAATGCTAAAGTACAATAAACAGTTTTTAGTCAAAATCTGGGTGGTGATAATCTCTATAACAGCACTTAAGATACAAAGTGCTACTTAAGTTTGGAAAAAAGCCCAGTTTATGTAATCTAACATTTAACTTCACAAAATATCATGTGTGCCAAAAAAAGAATTTAAATCTATCCTAACAAATTATGTACTACTTTAACTACTTACTAAAAGAGAGCCAATCAGGTTAGAGAAATAAAGAAAAACCACGTACCTTTCATAGATCAATGTTGTCGAAATTCAAATGTCTGGACGGACGATATGGGAGCAAGTGATAGAGATCGACTGCATGGCAGATAAAACTCGATAGATATAGTTACATAGAGAGTCCTAAATAATGTTAGATATAAATTATATATATACCGAGATGCTTGCTAAATACACTCCCTGACAAAAGTCTTGTTGCCTATCCAGGTTGTAGGAACAACAAATAACTTGACTTCTAGTTGATCATTTGGAATCAGAAGTGGCTTATATGAAAGGCAAAGGCCTCTAGATCATGCTTATTTTACCAAAATAAAATCATCATTCCTTGACTTTTAATTTAATTAGGACAGAAAGGTCAGACTTTGCTTAGACAAAAGTCTTGTCGCATAACAAAATAATGTACAGTACAGAACATAAAGTCATGGTGCCATGGAAAAAGATTTAATATTGTGTATGACTCCCATGAGCATGGAGGACTGCATCCATACATCTCGGCAATGACTCAAATAACTTATTAATGAAGTCATCTGGAATGGCAAAGAAAGCATTCTTGCAGGACTCCCAGAGTTCATCAAGATTCTTTGGTTTCATCTTCAATGCCTCCTCCTTCATCTTACCCCAGACATGCTCAATAATGTTCATGTCTGGTGACTGGTCTGGCCAATCCTGGAGCACCTTGACCTTCTTTGCTTTCAGGAACTTTGATGTGGAGGCTGAAGTATGAGGAGCGCCATCCGGCTGAAGAATTTGCCCTCTCTTATGGTTTGGAATGTAATGGGCAGCAAGAATGTCTTGATACTTCAGGCTGTTGATGTTGCCATCCACTCTGCAGATCCCTGTCGCACGCCCCCATACTGAATGTAACCCCAAACCATGAGTTTACCTCCACTGAACTTGACTGTTTTCTGTGTGAATCTTGGGTCCATGCGGGTTCCAATAGGTCTTCTGCAGTATTTGCGACGATTGGTATGAGGTTCAATAGACAAATCATCAGAAAAATCAACCTTCTACCACTTTTCCACTGTCCATCCTTCCTGCAAGCTGTGGGCCTTAGCAAATGCAACACGATTTTTTAGTTGTCCTCTGTTTAATACTGGTTTCTGAGCACTAATTCGGCCATTGAGACCACTGCGTGAGAGAATTCAACAAACTGTTCTTGTAGATATAGGGGTTTCTGGTGACCAGTTTTTATGTAGCTCTGCTGCAGTTGAAAAAGGGCTGGCCCTGGACTGTCGAAGCAACAAACGTTCCTCTCGAACAGTTGTCTTATGGGGTCTACCTGACCTGGGCCTGTCATGAACTTCACCAGTTTCTTCAAAACTTTTTCTTATCCTCTCCACTTGACATTTAGATACATTAAAGATGTCTGCCACCTCAGCAGGAGACTTGGTCTTCAGGCTCTTGATGATCTGTGGTTGAATCTTTGGCATGCTGTCAGAGGTCAGGTTGCATTTCAAATGAAGGTTGGGTGTGCTGGGGTTCTTCTTATACACACATGGGAATGTGTTAATCACAGTATTTGTCACAGGTGACACTCTAGTCTGTGATTGGTTGAATCCTTTAAAGATATGGCAAGACTTTTGTCCTTGCAGAAACAGATGTTATGGGCTTTACCAAGCTGTGAACATCAGGACACTTTTTGATGGTTTCATTTTGCACCCAGTTATTAATGTGAATGCCCTTGACATTAAAATTAATTTATTGTGACAACAGAATGATTAGAAATAAAGTTATATCACATTTTAGGTTACTATGTCCTTATAGCACAAGCCTTTTGTCATGGAGTGTAACATTGTGACACGTACAATGAAATTTTGTTCTGAGCCAAGGACCACGGGCCGCTGCATGCATATATGCATATGCACCACCATCACATGCAACTTGGGGGGGGTCAGTGTCTTGCCCAAGGACACTTCGATGTGGACTACAGTCACCGAGATTTGAACTCCCAACCTTCCAGTTGGGAGACGACTGCTCTACCCACCGCACCACTGTCGTCCCCCAAAGCAAGGTGGGAACGCCTCATGCTCGCACATACAAGAAGGCCTAACGGTGGCTGTACTTCCTGAGGAGGCTGAGGAGGTTTGGCATGTTGCCTAGGATCCTTTGCAACTTCTACAGAACAGTGTGTGACCATACACTTACTGGTTTAGAGGTGAAATGGGGCCTTCAGTGAGGTGACTACAGGCAACGTGGTGAAGATGTCACATCTCTGCTGACTGTGTTCTGCTTGTTCAACAACTGTTTCATAAAACACTCAGTCTGGCTAATGTTATCTTGTGACTCATTCTTATTAGAAGTTGAAGAAGAAGCAAAGAACTCTGTTCATTTTTATAGATTTATTGAATAGATCACAAACATGAACTGAAGCTGAATAAGAGTCATAGCAGTTCATTACCTCAAAAATAAAAGAACATAAAGGACTATATGCAGCCGAGACAGAGGGTGCCTCACGCTGAAACCACTGCTTTGTTTGAATGAAAACCGGATCACAATAAAGGCAACAACCATACAGCACGGTGACTGTGGTACTAATATACAGTATTAGTGAAAAAATGACAAAAAACAACATCCCAGAACCCAAAGTGTCGCCTTCAGGTTGTTTACTCTGTTTGTCCAACAATTAAAAACACAAAAGTGTTGAATGTGTCAGTCCAAAAAAGTTTTTATTTTTTATTTTTTAGACTGAACCATCACAGTCAGTTAATTCACAGAAAGCAGGGGCAGCCTACTGAAAATATACAATATATATATATATATATATATGTATATATATTATAGCCTGCAACTTGTACATGGCTGCTAATTCATCTATTTTTGAAAGCATCACATCAAACAGAGAGCCTCTCCTAGCTGTTAGCAGGCTGTTATGCTACCAGACCAGCTAGCTAGCTGTACCCAGCATGCAGTTCACCTGCGTAATTTTGTAAAATGTACAATTACTGACATTTCAAATTGGTTGTCACAAATCATTGTGTGCCATGATGTTTTGCACTGTTTACTGCTAGATGGTAAGCACAGCTGCCAGGGGACCCCTCTTAGTTCATCGTTCATTCTGGCTAATGACCCAAAGCAACAGTATTATATAACCTGCTGTTTACTGATGCCTACACTTCAGCTCTGCTATGAAAAATTCAAATGTCACATGAAATTAATTTCAGTATACAGCCCAGCACTAACCAGAGCTGAAAACTATCTAATAGCATTTCACTGCAAACAAGCTCTACTGTAAAGGATAATAGGAAGACCAACCCAACATCCTCACACATGCTGAGGGTTGGGGATACTGATGTTGTTTGCTTTTTATTATAATACTGTATTTCTATTTTTTACTTTCTTCTCTTTCTTTCTTTGCCTGCAGGCTGAAGAATGTGAGATCACAACTCAAACAGTACAGCAGTAAATACAGTACAGACACATGCACATGTACGTATTTTTGTATTATTATGATTCTGGAAAGTAACTAAAGTTTTACAATAAATGTAGTGGAGTAAAGTCAAAAGCATGAAGTAACAGAAAATACTCAAAGTACAGAGACCTCAAAATCATACTTAAGTACAGTACTTGAGTAAATCTATTTAGTTACTTTCCACGACTGTTAAAAACATGTGATAAATTTGCGATTAATCACAAGTTAACTATAAACAATCACGATTAAACATTTTAATTGATAGGCAGCACTACTATAACATTAATCAAAGTTGGAAACGCGTGTAAACAAAGCTATGTACTGCTTTCCAGAAATGGAGAGTTCCACGATTTAAATGGGATTCTTATTCTGCTGGACAGTTGGGTCAGTGATTTGACATGTGCCACTGAAAATCGTTATGGTAATAGGTTAATCTTTGTGGTAATGTTACATTAGCAAACTGGGTATTATCTGCGTCACATTAGCCTGTTTGCTAAATCAACTTTCCCTGGGACATTCAGCTAAATTGCTAGTTTGCAGTTGATCTATTTTCAGCTATAAACAGCTGGAGATGGTTATGAGAGAATAATAGTGGCGTCTGTAGCTGCTTTGGCACGTTATGCCCTAATTGCTAGTTTTTCTACATCTCCCTTAGCATTGGCTCTTCCCTTAGTCACTAGTATCACTGCCGTGGTAATACACGTTCATGAACTATGAGTGACATGGTTACGGGCTTCAAACTGAAACGACTTGTGGATTTCTGTTCTTGATGTTCAAAATGTAAACATTCTTTTGCTAGAATCATTGACTATACATTTAAGGTTCCTGCTTGAGTGAAAAACTTTCCAGACTGCTCACATCTGAATATTTTTCCCTTCCCTAGAGTGAATTTGTTGATGTCGGTTTAAATAAGACTTCCGAGTAAAGGTTTCTCCACACTGGTTGCACCTGTACGGCTGCTCTCCAGTGTGAATTTGTTGATGTTGCCTTAAGTTGCTCTTCTTACTGAACATTCGTCCACACTGGTCACAACTGTACGGCCTCTCACCTGTATGAATTCGTCGATGCTCTTTTAAGTGGCTCTTCTGAGTAAAGGTTTTCCCACAGTGGTTACAGGTGTATGGCTGCTCTCCGGTGTGAATTTGTTGATGCTGTCTTAAGTTACTCTTCTTAGTGAACATCCTTCCACATTGGTCACACCTGTATGGGCTCTCCCCTGTATGAATTCGTCGATGGACATTTAATTCCATTTTCGAAGTAAATATTTTCCCACAGTGGTCACATCGGTACAGTTTTTCTCTAGAGTGAATTTGTTGATGTCGGTTTAAATGAGATTTCAGAGTAAAGGTTTTCCCACAGTGGTCACAGATGTATGACCTCTCTCCTGTGTGCATTCGTTGATGTTGATTTAAGTGGCTCTTCTGATTGAAAGTTTTTCCACAGTAGTCGCAACTGTACGGCTGCTCTCCAGTATGAATTTGTTGGTGTCGGCTTAAGTTACTTTTCTTAGTGAACATTCGTCCACAGTGGTCACAGCTGTATGGTTTGTCTCCAGTGTGAGATCTCTGGTGGATCCTTAGATGTGATGGTCTTAGGAAGGCTTTGTCACATTGCTGACAGCAGTGATGACTGGGTGTCTTTCTACGCCTCTTTTTCTATAATGACAGACATGAAGAGAGGGAGAGAGACATAAATCTCATGGTGGCAACTGATCTAAAACCAAATGTACCATGCAAATTGTTATAACATCCTTTAATCATCATTTCTCAAACAAAAGATTATTTCTTAGACCAGAACACTTCAGGTCATACAATTAAATTGGGCATCAAACCTCAAACAGCAGGTTTAAAGTATCATTTTAAAGTTTGTGGCATTGCTGTTATATTGTTTGATGTGACTAGATTTAAGTCTGAAAACTTATGGCCACTTTCAAACATGCACACCTAGCTAGGAATATGTCAGTTATTTTCACATCTAGGCGTCATGTCTGAACAAAGCCCTCGTGGCAAAGTGTTACTGGCAATTTTACCTGGTTGGACCTCATCAAACAGCCGGTGGTGTTCTAACCAACCACGTCTGAATTGTTTTCTACATTTTAGATTGCCAGTAGAACAATCCAACGACAGCGCTACAGATGAAGATCTATAGGCACTGGAGCTTAGCTGTCCCACATCAGAGGAGTTCACCCTAATATTATTGCCTGATGTGTTTAGAAAAACTGGTGACTACAATTCATGAGATTGAAAATAAATCAGTTAAAAGTAAACTCTAAAGTGTAGAAACAAGAACAGAATTTAAATATTCTTTTATTTTTAAGCCTTAATTGTACATTATATTTTCCAATAAAGTCCCTGGAGACATACATTCGATTCAATTGGATTCAGTTTAATTCTTTGTATAGTGCCAAACCAGAACAAAAAAGTCATTTCAGGGCACTTAACAAAAAAAGGTCCAAACCTCACTATTCTTATCAGATACAACAATCGGCAGCAGAAACAGACTTTACATTTAACCTAAGTGATGCTGGGTGTCAAAATACAGCAAACTGAACTGTCTCATTCCTGAACAAAAACCAACTGACCTAACAAGTGACACACACAGGGGAACATATATATTGGCTGGCCAAACCAATAGCACAAACAAGGGCTAGACCAAAGACACTACCAAAATAATCAACTAATAAACATTGAACAGTATGCTCTCAACTAAATATTTCCTTTAAATGTGAAGAAATTAACAAAACTTGACAAATAAAGTTCTACGATAAACTACCAACAAATAAATAATAAATAATAAATAAAGGAGGCGGAGGCGACATTGGTGCAGTGGGTAGAGCAGTCATCTCCCAACCAGAAGGTTGAAGGTTCGAATCTCGGTGCCTCCAGTCCATGTGTCAAAGTGTCCTTGGGCAAGACACTGACCCCCCGGTTGCCCCTGATGGTTAGAGCCATCGGTTGAGGTGGCGCCGCAGATGGCTGCCATTAGTTCTGTACCGGAAACAAATTCCTTGTGTGTAACATACTTGGCCAATAAAGGTGATTATCCTGAAATTTCTGCCAAACTCCCCCCTTCTTTGTATTGGGCACTTGGTGCAGTCCAGGCCTAGTGGGAGGCATTTAAACCTGCTGCTTCCTCAGTCCAATCTTTTGGCTGAACCGGCCAACATGGCAACTCAAAAGAAAATGTGCACATACAGTATTAACAATACAAAATCAATCTAACGTGCATGCTCACTGATCAATTGTGTATGTATAATATCAAAAAATATTAATCTACAACTTAACCTAAACACAACAAAATTACCCACCCAAGTCCATTGCTGGTGGTGGTTTAGGCCCTCACATGGTGAAGGCCAGGATTGAGGCATTCACACTGGGATTTAAAGAGTTTTACCTGAGTGATCAGCCATGGGCCGATGTGACTGACCAACACCAGAAACCAAAAAGCCAAAGTAAATAAATAAGTCTTTAGTTTGAATTTAAAGACAGAGATCAGTGATAAAGCAAAGTTCAGATGGAAGAGCACTCCACAGTTTAGGAGCAGCTACAGTAAAAACTCATCCTGAAGGTCTCCTGTATGACTTCGTCAATGCTGATTTAAGATACACTTTTGACCGAAGGTTGTTCCACATTCATAACAACTACACACAGTGTGAAAGCATCCATGTTGGTTGAAAGTTGTCTTCTCAGTAAAGGTTTCTCCACAGTGGTCAGTTCTATAGCCACTCTCCAGTGTGACTTTGTTGATGTAAGTTTAAAGTACTTGTCACAGTCAAGATCTTATCACACTGTTCACAGCTGTATAGCTTCTGACCAGTGTGAATTCATTGATAAGGGTAATCACCTTTATTTGGCAAAGTATGTTACACACAAGGAATTTATTTCCAGTAAAGAACTGAGGCAGCCATCTGCAGCTCCAACTCAACCGATGGCTCTAACCATCGGGGGCAACGGGGAGGGTTCAGTGTCTTGCCCAAGGACACTTCGACATGTGGACTGCAGCAATGTGAACCTCCGACCCGCTGGTTGAGATGACTGCTCTACCCATTGAACCACAGTCGCCCCCACTGATGTTTTAAGTAATGCTTCTGTGAAAAGAGAGGTAAATCTCATGCTGTAACAAAGCATGAAACCATATAAAATATGTACTGATATCATCCTTCAACCATCATGTCTCAGGAAACATTTCTAGAACAGTTCACATAGCATTAAATTTGCAATGCCAAGAATTAAACATCAGACCTCTAAAATATCAGTTTAAAGTTTACAGCATTGTCTGACTGTTTAAAACCCCACCACCTCTAACATATAACCTCAATAATGAACATATATGAATTTATACATTTATGACAACTTTGCCAAAAACTCAAACATTGTGAGCTTCAAAAACACAGGTGTGAGCTATAGGTGTGCTCCGGTAATTCATCAAATGGCACGACACTGGCCACTGGCAAAATTAAGTCTTCCCAGATTGGTGAAATGTATAGACTTTCTCAACTCGTCCTCGTTATTTATGTAGTATTAAGAAATACCGAAAGTGTATGAAAACACATTTCCCACACTGGTCACAGCTGTATGGTTTCTCTCCAGTATGAAGTATTTGACGACGGTCTAAGTCAGTCTTCAGTGAAAAGGTTTTTCCACATTGATCACAGCTGTATGGCCTCTCTCCACAATGAATAAATCTCATGCTGTAACAGAGCATAAAACCGTATAAAGTACATACCGTCATCACATCCTTCAACCATGTTTCTACAATACTTCATATGACATTAAGTTTGCAGTGCCAGGAATTGGACATCAGACCTCAAAGCTTATTTAGAGGTGTTCCTAATATTCTGGTCCTCATGTATGTAACCAGAAAAAACTAAAAAAAAAAAAAAGATATACACAGCTCTAAATACGATGTGGTCTAGTACAACACCACCTGTAACTATAACCTCAATAACAAATGCCTATGAATTTATACATTTATGACAACTTCACCAAAATCTCAAGCATTGTGAGCTTCATAAACATGGGTGTGAGCATAGGTGCGCTTCGGTACTTCATCAAATAGCACAACACCTCTGGCTACTGGCAAAAGTAAATCTTTGCTCATATTGGTTAGATATATAACACTTAAAAGCAGTTTTTTTTACTTGCACCTGGTAAACATACCCCCTCTAACAAACATTTAAAAAACCAGGTGACCAACACCAACAAAACTGATTACTTTGGCTTTTGGTTCCTGGTAAAGTTTAAATAGAAAGTTACCTGGGGCCCGTTTCAAGAAGGAGGTTTAACAAACTCAGAGTTTAAACCTGAACTCAGAACAGGTTTCAGAACAGCTGAAAAGAGTTGGTTTAATCAACTCTAGGTAGGTTGACTCAGGGGTAGGCGCGTGCAGCGCGACTATAAAAAGCCCTGAACAATGGAGTGAAGACATTACGAGTCACCATGGCAACAGGACCAAGCAAAAATAGGTCTGCGTTTTTTCCCCAACAGAAATGGATGTGCTACTACAAGCATATAGTGACTACGAGCCCATATTTCGTAAAAAAAAAAAAGCGACACGGCTGCAGCGGCGAAAGAGAGAGAGTTAGCTTGGGGGAAAATAGCTGCCCGAGTCAATGCGTACGTTTACATTTTAATCATACAGTGTTCGGTATAAGTAATTACTAAATAATGTTAGTATTTGTAAAGTAATGATTAATAAATAATCCAGTACGTTTTATGGAGAGTAATTATTACATTAATCAAAATACTTTTTTAAAATTGACCCAACACTGATGTAATAATATAAGAATTGAATTTTAATTTTCATGTAGGTGCATTGATGGGAATATGTGTGCCATCAATGCATCCAACCGCATTAGGAAATCCTGAAGGGGATTCTAATTATTAGTTTATTTCCAGAGGTCACAGCAAGATGTTATTAACTGATTATCATTTTTCAGATTAGCCTTACTGAAACGAATTCAATACCACTAACCTGCAATCCTGTGAAACTCCTCTTTAATGGCTCTGAGGGGTTTGTGCCCAGGAAACACAACAAAAATTCACAGAAAGCGCTTGAGGGTGAGGCACACTTTCCGAACTATTCTACATACTGTGGCCTTACTAATGTGCTCTGCATCCCCGATGTTATAAAGAAAACTGCCGTTTGCAACAAATCGTAACGCAACACAAAGCATCTGCTCGGATGTAAGAGCACGGCCACGATGGGTGATGTGTCTGATGTATGGGTGGATAAGATTATTGATATATGTTATGGACTCTCTAGAAAAACGGTACCGCTCAAATAAAAATACATGGGGATATGACAAAAAAAAAATCAACTCGTGGCCTCAATATCCTCTCCCGACGTAAATGCAGTTCCCTGCGAATTAATACAGCGTCCTCATCTACAAGATCCTCTATGAATGGACACGCCATTTTGGTCTCTGCGTGACGGAAACATGTGCAATCTATGAATGTACTGAAAGATTAAATGAGGTATTAAACACCTTTCACTTTAAAAAGGGGCGGAGACCGGAGGAAACTCTGGGTTTCCCAAACAAAACTTGCTGCCAACCAGGTTAGGTTCACAAAGTAAGTTGCCATAGTAACTGACTCTGAGTTTAGATTACCTCTCTTTTTGAAACGGGTTTAATTTACCCTGCTTTCACGAGTTT